CGTTTTACAATATTTTATTCAAGCACTCTACAATTAATGCCCTGTCTAGATCAGAAGATGATTTTACTTGTGGCTCATTTTTTTATCATTAAAAAAATTATTTGAGTCAAACTATCCACTCCACAAGTAGGATCATTCACCGCTCTAAATTAGGCATAACTGAATGAAATTGTAGGTTATGTATCTCTTTCAGAATTGCCATAGCAGACGACTTTGTGAGTCCTTTTAGTGACGTCTTACAAAAGATCCGTCAGACGTCTGTACATCGTCTTTAGGTAATGTCTCAAAGACGTAATGAAAAAGACGACTACAGAACATCGTTAAGACATGCGTGTTGTGTAGGTATAACCCAGATCTATAGAGAGAAGGTTACCTCAGTAAAACCGGATGTTGGCGAGGGACGATGAAGAAAGGGGGGGAGCTAGAAACAGCTTGTGGCGAGAGGCGATGAAGTAAGGGGGAAGCTAGAAACAGCTTGAAGGCGAGGGGGCGATGAAAGAAGGAGAGAGCATGATGATCTCATCTGCAAACAGTAGCTGTCTGAGATAGCTTCTGCTTGCAGATGACATTATCATTGCCCCTCTTGCCGCTCGCCCTTCTCTGCATTTGCTCCTTTTGCCGCTCGTTCCTCTTTGCGTATGAGGTAACCTTCTCTTTACAGATCTTGGGTATAACCTTACAAATCTCTATTCATGTTACAAAATAAATTAATAAGTGTGATAAATTTTATACAAATATAATTTTATATTTTGATTATTTTTAAGCTGCGTTCCGTAAAGTACATATGCGTGCATGTATCTATAGTATACATATAGTATACACAGAGAGAAACCTGAGAGCAGTGTTCCGATTAGGGACCGGTTGTATGCGCATGTGCAACTCTGCGCATGTGCGGTAATGGAGATCCAGTGCCGTTATATGTTGTGTGTTGACCGTATGGTAAGACGTTTTGACATGAGGAGGTTAGGTGACTACAAATAAGGTAAGATTTATTTATTTACAAGCATGGAATCTACGGAGCCAGCAGCTAAAAAAACCAAAAAGTAGAAAATTTCAATCAATTCAAAAA